TAAAATGTCAGAGTTATTATAGATACCAATAATACCTACTATTTTGTTATTATAATAATATATTATGGTAAACACTCAACATAGGTGGTATTTAAACTCACTGTGGTACTTATTTACCTGCATAATTTGAATTAAAAATGTTTTTTTTTTTTGTTTGAACTATCTGACTATAATAAATTTAATGGGGATTATTATCAGGATGTTACGATTTAAATATCTGCATGCAACGTGTACTGCGAGCACAGTAAAAGGAAAATCTTATTTAACCCAACGTTTTATATTATATTATACTCCTGCAATAGCGGTCATTATATCCTTTACCCGCGTACAGCAGCAGTGGTGGGTGAACCGATAGGGTAAAAAAAAGTATTACACCCATAATATGTAAATTGAACCTTTATTTTATTTTTATTCTCAAAAATGTAAACAAAAACCAACTTTTATATTATCTTGATACAGTCAGGTATAATTTGTTCTAAAGTTCAATTATTCATGAACAAAGCCCAGTATATACGCCCAGTTCGACGACGGTATTATATACACGGTACGTCCGTTCGCGTTGTCTGTATTATTTACTTGTTATACATACGTACACGATGAAGAAATGATTGCAATAATAATAATATTGTATTATAGTAAACTAATTTTCGTTTAATCAAACCGTCCGTGTAAAAATAGTTTTATACATGGCTATTATTTGGTATCTGCAATATAATATTATAAATATAATATCGATTGTTTATCGTCGTTGCTAAATTATATGGTTTAAGTCGCGTTCAATATAATATCGTAATATTATAATTTTTTTGAATAATGTACCTTATATTTATTTTAATTTTTTTTTTGGTTTTTAGTTATATAGCAATACGAATACAACCTGCACGACTGCATGATATTCGATACTTTTTAAGCATTCAAAAATATAGTACATTATTTTAATTTCCATACAAGTTTAAAATTTTATTTTAACGATTTTACAGTAGAATAATAAGATGAAAATTTCAAAATAGATCAAAAATTATAAATAAAGTGTATTTGCAACGCAAAAGTTCACACAGTTTAATACTATAATATATTATAATTGGTCTGCAATGCGTGTATGATGGTTATGTTATGATAACAATACATTGGGGCGGTGTTATTTATAATATCGAATAATAATCGGGACTTATTGGTATGTTTTTTGCTGGCGTTTGAGAAAATTCGTCCAATAAAATTATAAACGCTCCGGAAAAAAAATTTCTGTGTAATATAACTTTAATACTATATACGGCAATTAAATCGTACTACATTCATCCTAATCGTGTTGAAACAAAGTTTGCTAAACCATACATTTTCAAAGTTTTTCATCGTCAATCCTTTCGTATATCCTCACCGCCCTCGATAGAAACCATGTAATAACTCATCGACGCGTGTGAAGACGTGTCAATGTGTATCGCTTAATTCTATACAGCCGCGTTGAATGTATATACATAATATTATATACTCTCATTTAGGTCTCGAATTTCATTATAAATATATATATATATATCGCTGACGGAATCGTATTGAAAACAGCATCAATATGTAATGCATCTAAAACGCATTAAATTAGCAACGGAATTTATCATGACACAGTCAATGCCCATGTTCGCCTCGGGTATATGAATTATGCATTTGAATTAATTCAAAATTTCCCAGGAGACTGTCTTGCTTTCCCTCGAGCAGTTTTCCCACAAGCGTGACATGCCGTACCTCTGCTACATCATTGTATTATTATTTTTTTTTTTTTTTTTTATAACTGTTTCAGGTTTTCGTAAACATAAACCAATGTTATATATTATATATTTATGATGTTAAAATTTATCTTTCTCTACTTTTTTATGAATTTGTGTTGATGCAAATTGATTGTTTTTCCAAGAATATTGTTGTAAGTGATTTCCGTGTCTTGTCGGCTTACACTAGTTTAAGAAAGGCAATAAACATAAATATGAAAAATCAATTAATTTATCATAATCGTTTTTATTTTTGAGATTATCTCTGGCAAACTTACAAAAGATAAAAATTGAAAAATAAGAGAAAATCATACGCACGCCCAAATGTGCATGTATACGAGTATACATTATAAGTATGTGTGTGTATATTTTTTTGGCTGTAGTTGATTTTTCATCGTTGTATCCTCGGTGGAGTTTGAGTTTTTGACTTAAAGAACCCCCTGAAGTTTTACGACCACATAAATCTTTGGAAATTATATAGTGGCCCGTAGCGGGGACTGTAGAAAAAAAATAACGTTTATTTCCTAAAACAAAATATAAATATAATATGCATATTGGCGAAGATGAAAGAGTGAGACAGTGAAAATCCCTCGCGATGGAATATGATTATATACACTATAACATTAGCGGAGATTTCTCAGAGTGGGTGTGTATAATCTATATATATATATAATTTATATAATGAATCAGATCGGTAGTAGAAAGAAGAGAAGAAAGAGGCAAAAAACACTGACGGCCCCCAGCCCCAACAACTTAAAAACTTAAAGAAGAAGCATCAGAATAATACTTGCCAAATGTGCCGAGAAAGTTTGTTAGAGCATTTCCATTCGTGTGGATAATTCGCCGGAGGAAACCGCTATTACGCACGGACAATTTACTAATTGGTTGCGTGTCCGAGTACATTTTGTTAAATGTAAATAAAACTTTTATTGTCGATTCGCTCGTCGTCGGGACAATATCTCAGTGCGTCACCACTGCAGTATTCGTCTCTATACACTGTAGGTCGACTGTGTAATATAATTATTGTATGCCAAATGCATATTACCTACGTAAATATATAAAGTATATGTACGTGGTCGCCACAATTAGTGGATTCGATTTCAGTTCATTGCCCATCACTAAATCACTAATGCCACTACATCAGTGGTATAAGAAAATTACATAATCATTTAAAAATTTTTTAATAACATAAAAAACTATTCATTATCATTGTATTTTTATTATTATTAAAAAAAAAAATCATTATCTATTTTAATAATTTAAATGTATGAACAGAAAAAATAAATATTTAATCTACTATAGATATCTAAACGCGTCTAAAGGCTTTTTTATTTTAAATTCTAATTATTTAATTTAAAATTGAAATTTTTGTTTTGTTTACGTTTATTAACAAAATAACAATACTTATTTTATTTATATAAACGCCATAATTAACTCAAGTACATTAAAAATATAAATATGATATAATTATAATTGCAGTCTTATACAACTAAATTTTCAAAAATAATAATCATATTTCATAACTAGATTCAAAACTAAATACTTTTTTTATAAAAAATACATACTTTGCAATAAGTCGATTGATAATAAATAAATGTGTTTATTATTATTTGTATTATATTATTTAAAATCTAGCGAAATCATTTATAATTGGCAAAGTATAGAGTTAATTTTTTTATTTTGAGTTGAGTTATTTTTTATGTGAAAGATTTAAAATTTATTAATCATAAGATTTTGAATATGCAGCTTCCTTAGAAATATGCCATGAGCATAATAATTGACATCCAACCATCACACGTCATATAAATGCATTGTTTTCTTGCCGTGCATATATATTGCACACACCCGTTCCCAAGAGGCGATGACGGTCGAATTACCTTTCATCGTGAACACAACAGTATACTAACATATATATCACATATAATATATACCTGCATATGTGGAGCTCAACGGAGACTCCACTAACTTTGAAATTATTCTTCATTACGTCTTTCCAAAGGTTTTGCAATTAATTTTCTTGACCAATGAGACGAGGTGATAGTACATTTTTTCTATAAAATAGGCAACACCGTATCAATCCGGTGCGCAAACAATATTATTATAAATTTTTATATATCGTTAGTGTTTTGAAAATATATATAATTCTCTACACCAACTAATAATTTAAACTTTTTAGATAAAAACGCAATATTATACTACGCGCATATCCATCATCACTTACTATCTCTTCGTTTTACAGTAAATCCAACCATGTTATAACATTATATACGCCATGTACAGTAGTTATGAAATTATAATATTATGAGGCGTAAATACCATAATTTTCATATTGTATTATTAACAGTTGCTTTATACGGTTCTATAGCATCATAAAATATAAGATACCAATCAGAACTTTAGGAACGGCAATAATATTATACGCACTACAATATTATTATTACTTTATAAAATATAGTTTTTAATCGATTATTTTTTTTTTCAAAAGTTTATGGTTCTAAATCAAAAGACGTCGTCGTCGGTTGAAAAAAACGAAACATTTTCCCGTGGTGTCATTGATTGACGTTTGCTAAGTCGAAATTGTTTTTCTCCAAACTATGTTTGACTTGGAAACAGTATCGAAATGAGAATTCTCACCGACAACTGCGCCAACGTGAATTATATACATACTATGTATATTGTATATGTACATGTGTCCGTCTATTGTCTAGCAAGTTTTGACGTTATTGTCAACACCCGCATATGCTCGAATATGGGGTAGATTTCTTAGGTACTCAAATTATGTGGGGTCTGAGCTGTGCGTTCGAATGAAGTTTAACACCACAAAGTGAAGTGGCGCGCGGGGATGAAGGGGTTAAAGTTATCTTTAGAACAATAAAGCTGTCATACACGTGCACACACAATAATAATACTATATGAGTTATAAACTAACACGTATTTCAACTTCATCTTTTTTCGACCACGCTGCTTATAATACATGTATAACAATTATAGACAACATGCATAATATAAAGTGACTCGATAAACGGTAAGGAATAATTACTATGAATGTCATTGTGACTTCCTGACATGAACCATTTACAGTTTGCACCTATCTATTATTTTATTATTTTACTAAGATAATAATTCACTTATACTACCAAACAGCAATAAAAGCCACCAATGAAATGTCTTTTTCGTTTTAATAAATAACCCTGTCGAACACATTGATTGTGATTTTAAAATACTAATTTTTCCGTTTCGTTTCAGCTAACACAAAACCACTGACGTTCGACGAAGTATATAATCAGTCGAGCCCAACCAACTGCACTGTGTACTGTGGTGGACTGACCAGCGGACTCACAGACGAACTGGTGCAGAAGACGTTCGCTCCATTCGGTAACATCCAAGAGATACGGGTGTTCAAAGACAAGGGTTACGCATTCGTCCGGTAAGTCGAAAACATCTAATTTCGTACAAATAATTTTAGTAAAATATAATAGGCATTGTAAACAATATATGTAGTGGGATACGTTTATAAAAATAAATACACCGCACCAATCTGAGTGAGTCACTCAAAATCTTTCTAAACTAATCTATAGATTTGAAAATCCCAAAAATAAATTTGCAATTTTTTTCCATACTATTTTAAATATAATACAAGGTAGATAGGCAGATTTCATGGATTTACGATGTACATCTAAATTATAAATAAACACTTAACAAAATAAATATCGAAATTCTCAATTTTTCTACCACCAGAGTTTGTTGAATCAAAACTTGAAACACAGAGATAGATCTCTACAGTATCTATCTGAGCAGTTAAAAAAATAATTAAATTAAGTAAAAAAAAACACAAAGTTCTTTGGCAGATAATTAGATTTCAATCAAATCTGAATGGTTGGTCGCTTCGTTTTCATTAGTATTACGATTTAATTATTCAAACGTTCGTGGGTAGAATATTGCGCATGTGTATTTGTACACGCATGTGCACCGGGTGGAAAACACGACGACAGATATCCTAATGTACTGACTACCTTTAACAAATCCACCATATCCTCCGACTCCATCATCATTCGACCACTACCACGAACGATAGCGGTTCTCGTCGTTTCTGAAATGTAATGAACAACACTAATAATATATATATATATATATGTGTGTATGTGTGTTTGTGTGTTTCACAGCCTTTCAAAGGTGGGTAGGCGGTTCTTTAGTAGTTTGGACCATATTCACAATATTACTGACAAATCATTAACCCGTACGCTCGGCATCATTCCAACCTAGTGTACATAAATTAACAGCATTTCCCGCCCAAGAGCCCGTCATTCCCAGCGTCGCTATATAGTATATATATATATAATATATGAATAAATGTGTGTATGCGTGTAAGTGTGCCACATATAGTCTCAGTACGTAAACCTACACTTGCAAAGACCGACGTAAAATATCCACGTGTACACCAATTTTGCTTCGAAATGATTTCACATTATCGTAATAATATATAATATGATATAATAATATGTGTACTGACGTTATAGCCGTCACGTGCAATATACAATTTTAAAATTCAAAATCATACAATCAAAATGTATAAATTGTTCATTTTTTTTATTTTTATTTTTTCACGAATTATTACTAATCATAGTATTCCAGTATACTATAGTTCAGGAGAGTTTACTAATTTGGTGATATTTCATTACAAAATATTTTATACATACCTAACTACGTTAAGTAACTTTAAAATATAATTTAATACACGCAACGTTGTTATGCTATCATTATATTATATAGTCCTGTTTCTGTATTTCTTATTTGCATTCGCGTACAAACAATAAATTTAATCCTGAAAGTTAACGGTAATACGCGAGATAATATTGATTTTTTACGACGACTTTTTAGTTATTTCCATTTCTCGTGAAATTTATGAGATAATTTGTATGTTTACAATTATGATAAGCCTTTAACGTTATACCGTTATTTAGCTTTGATAATATTAACATAAGTACTTGTACACATTAAATATTATATTTACATAATATTCATACATATATATGTATATATGTATATTGTATATATATATAACACGTATATCACTAAAGTATAACTATTTCTTTATTTTTTTTGTATATAATTAAATATTGAGATAACATTTGTTTTTTGACCGTATATTTTTTTTTCTGGCTATATACTCTTTAGAATATTAATAATGATATCATGATATTTACATACAAAAGTTCTAAACTCATTAATTTAATTGATCATTAAGATCAAAATTTAAAATTTCTAAATTCGTTTACTGTACCTATAGCGTATGTAATATTTATTTATGCGTATATACTATATATAATAGTTACATTGCTATTATACAAACTTAAACACACTTATTTGAAAAGATAATTTTTCCGCGTGTAATCCGATTATCCATTAATAAATGTATTGATCAAGTTAAATTCCTATCAAGTACTAAAACAAAACTGTTGTGTATCACTCGTTTTACTCTTTTAGCTATAGATATACAATACTATTTATTATATTTAGCAGATATATATATTATATAATATGTTCACCGAAAAACTAGATTCATCTAATACTGAACAATTCCTATGGGATGATCCGCGATTCCCTTCGATTTCCTCCTCAACACGTATATATATGCTCAGAAACGGTAACTTCATAAAACCATATTTTTAAACCCTGTCGCCCACCCGTTTGAATTACTTATGACATCGGGAAAAACTGAATTAGAATTTTATAGCAACCCGCTCATACGCGTATTTAATGCGAAAAGTTGTATGTGTTGTCTTATATGATATTCAACTCATGGAATCGGCTAGTAGTAAATCGTTTGGCTCCCCTCAAATCATTACTCGGGGCATGAAATTTCAGAGGTACATACAAAGAATAATAATAATAATAAAATAAAAAATACGTCCACGCTAGCGTAATGTACGTCGTTGTCATTTCTATGATTCTATTCTATATTATACTATGCATATTATTAGAATATATATGTAATATGTATATTGTATACATCGACTAAAATAAAAAATAGACATACTAATTTCATTGAAAATTGTCGAGGGACGACCGGGTTTTTATTTCTACAATGTCTTAACATCGTGAATCGAAATGTTTGTTTTCTCTCGTCAGCCCCGCCAAAGTTCCGGCCCGCTGGCTACTAGGGAGCTTAAAATATTCATTCGCTCCAAGACTTCGGCATCAGTGGATACATGCTGAGCTAATAAAGTAAAGTTCGTTATCTTATTTGCAGTAGTAGTATACAGCTAGATCAGACTGTGTTTACAAGTTGGAATATATATATATTATATACATGTATTATTACATACACACCAACTAGTATATATAATACATGAGCGTACATCTGAAACAACCTAATACCTTTGACGGTGGTAGTAAAGCGTCGTCAGGGGTAGCAGGTAGAAGAGATAGGTGGAGAGAAAGATTGTGTCGGACGCTTTCCTGCACTTCCCCATAGACTGCTATTTGGAACGAATAGCGGCAGCCTCTCTCCTGGCCAATTGTAAACGGATTAAGAATGCATCCCCGACAACTCAACTACATACACGCAAACACGCGCTCGTGTATTTTGTCAGATGTGTGTACATCTATTATTAAACATATACCTTGTTTTCGGGCAATCATTTTTGAGCAACCATGTTAGGGGCCAGGACCTGCAGATCGTTTGTACTCAATATTTAAGCGACCCGGTCGGATTAAAAATGTATATCCGACATATGAGTGGTTCTGTAGAAGTTTTTAACTAAAACCACTTCCGTTTTATCCTGTTGCAGATTCGCTACAAAGGAATCAGCCACACACGCTATAGTGGCCGTCCACAATTCGGACATCAACGGGCAACCGGTCAAGTGTTCGTGGGGAAAAGAATCCGGTGAACCGATCGTGTCACAAAACGCGTCTCAAGTGTGCTCGTCGCAGGTAAATTACGCCCTACCACTAAGAGTTCGTTATTACATCCAAAATTTTTAGGAAACTTGACTTGATTCAACAGCTGACTAACCCCCATCCCCCTTTTTTAACGTTTCAGGCCGCGCTCAGCAGCACACAGTTTCCGTACACTGCTGCGGCGTATGGACAGCAACTCGGTTACTGGTATCCACAGAGCTATCCGGCCACACAGCTGCAAGGACAGTTCCTGCAGGGCGTCCAAGGTTACACATATGGACAGTTCGGCTATCAACAAGGGTATCTTGGGTAAGTCGACAACGAAGATAACTATAAATTTTAGCACTAAATAGATATATATTATTATCTACGTATTAAGTCTTGTAAGTTGTGTGCAATAAAATTATTATTTTTAACTATGTAAATTAATTTAGCATCATAGAAAATTGTTTATTATACAACAGCTATAGGTATAAATATCGCTATATGAAGCTGTTTTATTTTCGTAGTACGACACTAATTATTGTGGTTAATTTTCGTGTAATTGTAGGTACGTGTACAATATTCGTATATATATTATACTAAGTTATTATTAATAACTTTAGAAATTCCATGTATTTGAATTGATCGAAAATAGTTTTTTTTCTACTGCAATTTTATTGAAAAACAATTAGATAACTTTGAATGACAAAATTACTTGTTTTTTTTTTTTTTTTTTTATATGATAAATTTGAAAATTACATTTGTACGTATAATTTAAAAGATGGAATAAAAACATTTTTAAATCCAATCAGATTAACTATTCAAAGATGTGTAGTATGTTCTGATTGAATTCGAATTATTTTTCGTTAAAAAATAATATAATTATTATTTATTATTTTCTAAATAAGATTAAAATAAATGTAAAATAGGAGATATTCCAAGATAGTGTTTCCCAAATTTACACTAGGTAAATACATTTTCATTAAATTTAAAACTGTGTTTTCCATAGTTGGATAAACACGTTGAATGGTATTTCACTCGTTTTAATTAAAGTCACACGGTGTTATATTTTATTTCTTCTATTCAGTTTAAATCAATTACTTGAACAGCACTTTGACGTAATACAATTAATATCAGTAAAAAATGTCTTACAAAAATATTCTCTCTTTCTCTTCCATAAACATATTATATAATACAAGGTAAAAATATTGAAACTAAATAATTATTGACATTCGGAAAAAAATAAATATATTCAAAACTTGAAAAAATAATGTAGAATGAAATATTTTACAATAAATTATTTAATCGTAATGAATTGTTTATTTGTCGCTGTGTTCAGCATAAAAAATTAATTATATCTTAATTTCTACGCTTCTAAGATTAATTTGTTGTGACTAGTGTTCTGAAATGGAAAGATTATATAAAGTTGCAAATAAACTATTAAATACCAGGGCAATAGACACTATCAGTATTTCATATCTACACATCATCATTTATAAATACTCTTTAATGTAATATTAGATATGATTCATACATACTCATCGATCATCATCAACAAATATCAGCGTTAAAATTTAAATAACTATTCTATTAAATGATAAATCCTTTTTTTAAATTCTTACATTCTCATTTTGAAACAATAACATTTGATTTTAATTATTAAAAGCATGGAATACAATATATTTATATGTTTATATTGCTATAGAGTTTTAAGCAATAAATACAAAAATTTTAATGAGAATCAATTAAGTCCTCGTTAAATTTTTAGAACGTTTTTTGAAACAGTAGTTTCGAATATATGGCTGGTTGAAGGATCAAAATCTCGCTTCACTCCAAACTGATTTTATAGAATTATATTTTTGACATGACTTTTGTCTATACATGACAATTTGAATTTTTTACTTATCAAACCCCTCCTCGGTTTCCCCTATGAAATTAGTTCTTCATGCTAAGTATACAAAGAGCTGTATATTTGATTATAATGCGATACTTAGATACTATAAGAACAATATTGGTTATTTGTGCGTAATCTGGAATTGTCAGAGAAAACAAAAACACATTAATAGTGTAACACCAGTGAAATTGTTTTTTTTTTTTTTTCATAACCTAACCTTGCGCTTTTTCTATTTCCTTGTGAATAATTACCATCAAAACTACAACTACTAAAACTTAACATGTTTCGACAGGAGAAATCAAACAATACTCGTTTTATATATGTTTTTAATATTTATAATTTGCATCACATGTAGTTTAATCATGTATCATGATGTTGAAAAACACCACGTAATTCTACTATCATTCGTAATCATTTTAGTGACTTTATATATAATAATAATATTTGGAACATGGTTAAATATTAATCAAAATTTTTTCGCTATCAATATCAAAAATTTTTTGCATTTTCGCCTTTCGTTTTCGTAGCCGGATGGGAATGCAAGCATTGCCGACGGGAGCGACAACTGCGTGGACTCAACCAGGAGCTCTGCAACCAGGCCAGCAGATCGCATCTGCCGTAGCAGCACAACAGTCGGCACCGGCACCAGCCCCGCCGCCTGCTGCCGCCGCCATGATACCGGCTTATCCGACGCTCCACCAGTTTCAGGTAAAACAACACCCCGCACCGGTGCAGGCGTCCGCGTGGCCCATGTATGATCACCTCCACCACCACCATCACCACCTCCACCACCAACACCATGGTGGTTACGAGGCCAATGAGCTATCCATACTGAAAATGGCCACCTCGTGATCAGCCTCCACAGCTGCAGCCTCCACCACCGCCGCCGCCATCGCCACAACATCCACAGCCTTCAGAGCCAACCGATTTGACGGCGCTTATCGTCTGAAATTATATTAAGTGTCCTAAACCCCTAACGAATAGTGTATCATTTTTCAGCTCATGCATAGTTTTTGTATCGATTTTTTCGAAAACTTAACACGTTAATATCGATACAACGACGCGCAAATTTTTATCTCCCTCCTCCACATGTTACGATGATAAAAATCACTCGTAAGATTCTCACCCGCACACCTATCACGCGCTTTCGTTATTATAATTAGTTTTTTTTTTTTTTTTTTTTTTTTTTTAAATTATTATTATTATCATCATTATTATTATTTATGCTATTATTATAAATAATATACCGGTAGATTGTGAACTCAATCTACTCGTCCGGTATTTAATAAGATTATGATTTGTATTATTAATTATGATTATTGTCTATCATGTTTTTTTTTTTCGAATCTATCGAATTCGATATGCACATAGTTTTGATGAAACATATATAGCTAATTTTGTAGACGAGAATGCTCTTGACGTTATTATTATTATTATTATTATTTACAATTTTAGTAGAATTTTTTTTTTATAATTTTATATATTTTAATTGTTTTTATACTGCTACAAGACGAATATTCGGCAAGCTCCGCGTATCCCGTTCGGATTAACTGTAATGTGAACGCATTTGAGTGTGTTTAGGTTCGCACAGGAAATAGATTCATGTCACCTCCACTCCTCCCACTACACCAAAAAAACCGCACTACCGTTGTGTTTATTGTGCTTGTGAAATATTTTGTCGACGAACTTAACTTCGACATCTTCTCTTACCTAATACTTACTTGTTATAATATTACATTGCCGACTACAACGATTGCAATAGTATTGTGTTTTCGTTGCTATTGGTTACTATCTTAAGCAACGACAAATTATCTCTTTGTGATATTTACCTAACCTTTGACAAATGAAATATTCATCACTCGGATCGCAGAATTGATAATTTTTATTTATTTTTTTCAAATCTAAAAACACACAAATGTATTGAATACTCGTCACTGATGCATTGCAGTCGTTCGGTCGCCGTTTAATTGAGTATACAATACAATTTATTGCTTCACCCAAGAAATACGTCCAAAAGTCACGTGTTTTGTACAAGTTCCTCGCACAAAAAAAAAACACATACACAGTCTACACATGGAAAATAAAAATAACTAACACACATATTGATTATTTTCACGTACAATGTAATACTATATAAGGGCACTGATGTGGTTTGCAGATAGCCGACGAAGAGTGGCTTACGCCGAGCCTGCTGGTCTGAGGACGACTGAATTCTGGAGCCCAAAAACGCGATACGATAATTCTTCCAAACTCCGCCTTCTGCTACACACATAGTCAAGCCAATCAAATTTACAAAACCCCAAAAGCCCTGCCGGTGTACCGAACGAATTGTAAATAAATCATTTGGGGCGCAAAAAAAAAATAATAATTAATATTATATATTATGTATATATATTATATTATACAAGCCGGTATATTAATGTATTATTATTCGTTTGTACGGTGTCGAATCCCCCGATGGGTCGTATTCGGTTATAAAAACAATAGATCACTAATCAAATAAAAAAACGTAACATATCATCGACACAAGTGATGAAGAATTGTGATAAAAAAAAAAAAAAAAAAAAATAATAAAATCGATAATTTAACCATAAAAATGAAAAAAAAATATTTAGTCATAAAAAATTTAGTAGATGAGTTAACAATGGATGATATACATAATTGTGCTTATATGCTCAAAAACAAAAATAATAATTAAAAATAACTAATAATGATTTAATTATATATTATAAAATACAATACTGATAATGAAATTATTTAAAAGTGTAGGACATCGATTGCCAAACGATTTTTTTTATACATTGGAAAAAATTTGATATATTTTGTTCAGCACATTTCTGTTGGTGTTTTTATTTATTATTTTTCTTTTCACTTTACCTGTTTGAATAATGTAAATGAAGCATTTTGTATGATACATGGCTCCAGAGAACTAAAATGTTAATAAATATGTATACAATCGAATGTTATATATATTTAAACATACATATTTTACACTCACATACGCACGCCGGAAACACACGAATGCCACACGTGTGCATCTGCGTGTCTATGTATATATAGTATGTTATCGATAGCGATCAATTCGCTCATTTTGTAATAATGAACCTAGACAAAATGCGTAATACCTATATATTATAGTAGTTATACTACTATTATTTTTCTTGCAAAATAATAATTTCGCTAAATTTTGCTGTTTTATCTGACTTTTGTAAATATTTATATGAAAAGAAAATAATACTCTTATAGCGAGCTGTTTTCATTTTTATAGAATGTTATAGGTAATACGATTACACTAAATTTTGTTGTGTTATGTTTGTCAGTTTTCGGTTAAACTATATGATAATATCGTTATGAAACGTGTCCCTTTGAATAATAATAAAAAATAAATAATAATATTAAAATAACAATACCAATTACATGAAAATAATCACGTCCACTAGCTCTATATTACGATGTAACGTATATAATAAAAACAATTTTTTTTATCCAAAATTAAGATCTTCGCTTCGAGTGCTCCCCACCGAAATTATTTCCTGTGCTCAATACACTCACATCACATACCACCATTTATCTGCCAATTTAAATCACCAACTTTTTTGTTTGTTTCATTATATATAATATATAACGACCCATAAAATAATCGCATTGGTGGTTTTTTTTACAACTCCTAGTATAAAATGTAATATTATTTTCCTATTGTATAAGAATAAACTTTGTAAATTAAAGTGTGCTATATTGTAGTAAATGTTTTTTTTGTTTTTATTTTAAAAAACACAACTAATTAATTAGATGGGAAGCGTGTGTAGGCCGAATCGTAGCAATCGAGTAGTTTTATAAAATAAAAATATTAAGTATAAAAATAACTATATATTATATTATAGTTTATATTACGAGTATATATAAATCAAATTATTAATAACGAAAAGAGCGAAAAAAAACGTTCGAATAAAACGAAAAACGTGTACATATAAATAAAACAATTATACTATATAAATATTGATGAATAATATATAATCGCCTAGGATAAACCAAAGTGTAACCTGTAAACATAGCGTGTAAGTTACACTGATCGTGTACCAGACGAGCTAAGTCATAATACTATTATTATTGAAGAATTAAAAAAAAAAAAAACAATTATGTACATTGTAATATTTAGGTTAAATTTGCACCATATGATATAATTATTACAACGTTAATACATAATGATGATTATAGAGTTATTAAAAAAAAATTTAAAAAAACAAAAAAAATGAAAAAAAATTATAAACGAAAATCATTAGTTATTAGTGTTTGTTTAGGATTAATATTAAAATATATTATTGTAATACATTATAATACATGTTGTGCAAGTAATTTTTAAGTACCATATAACAAGTAAAAGAATGTTATAACTGTTATTTAACTAGTATAACTATATTGATGACTATAATATAAATCGATATGTATGTTAAAAATAATGATCAACTGTTTTGGAGAGTTTCCTTCCAAAAAGCACGCCATACCCAACAATGTAATATATTATACATTACTCAATAAAATTTGAAAATAAAATGAACCGTACATCCGAAATTTTTATACTTTATTACACGCAGCGTACTGAAGACTACAAAACAAGTTAGATAATATGTTCGTATAGTCTACGTAGATTTCCGTTTTTACGCTAGTGTTTAAATCAATTTGAACAATAATAATAATAAATATAAATTTTGGAGTACAATCAGGGTGTTCATGTTGTATCTGATGAATTCATTTTTGTATAACTTATAATTCTATATTATAATAATATATATATATATTGATAGTAATATTATATTTATATATTATATAACTATCTAAGTACGGACGCGCCAAGAACACTAATAATATAATAATGAAAAAAAAAAAAAAAATTACACAAATCGTGAGATCTCATATGTGATAAAATAATGTTGTATTCTCGATTTTGTTTCAAAAACAATGCTATCGAAACGTAGGTACATTCTGAAAAAATTGTTGCGAAAATTAATTAACGATTATTATTATTATTATTATTATTATTATTATTATGATTATTACTATTGTTATTATAACTATAACTTTATAAAATCGATCGTGTCATGTATATAATATACCTATATATATATATATAAAATAGGAAAGATTTTAATCACACACATACACACATACACACACACACACACACAAACATATATACACATACCCAGCCATTACACAGCACTTATGATATATCTACGTCGAGTAATATATTACCAGGATATTCGTATATGTTATGATGACAGAGATATTAGTATTATTTTATGTATATTGTAGTGTACATTATTATTATTATTATTATTATTATTATTACTATCATTATTATTGTTAAAATATGCAACTATCTAAAACGTGTAGGTTTATAACGAATAATAATTATTACCTATAATATAATAATTATATATATATATATATATATATATATATATGCGTGTATGTATGTATGTATGTATATACTTTACGTACCGTGTTTATTATTATATTGTGTAACGTACATTATTATAACATAATTTGTATTAATTGAAAAAACACGTTTTTTTAAAATTTAATGTTAAAAAAATAAAATATACTTACATACGATGAACTATGCGGTACCTTATATATATAATATATATATTATAATAATAATAACAATAATAATAAAGGTGTAACAAAAAATAATAATAAACGCAAAACGATATAAATGTAAGAAAAAAAATTGTAATCTATATTAGTACCTACTATCTATATATATAAATATATATATTAATATTAATATCGTGAGCGGAGTATGTAGTAACGTATTGTGTATAATTTATTTATCCAACGGAATTATGTATAAAAATAAAAAAAGAATAAAAATATACAGTACCTATAATATTTGTACTTAAGCCCAAAAAAAAAAAAAAAGAAAAAAAAATAGTGAAAAAGTCAATATTAGTTAGATTGTTGCTACAAAATTATTTATACAGTATAATTATTATTATAATAATATAAACCAACACGTGTGTAGGTATCAACATATGTAATTGTTAACGTTACTATATATGGTACATAAATATAATATATATATATAGTGATGACAAATATTATATAATTAATTATTAAGTTATTATATAGCGAATAACTGCTAAACATAATATATGATGAATAAAACGTAAAAAAAAAATGTTGTTGTGTACAAAAAGTGTTTTTTTATTTCACAACCCTATTTTGACGACCTTACCTTTACCTGTATAATACGCATATAGTGTGAATACATTAATATATTATTATATATTGTTTGCCTGATTTTCTTTGGACACGCGCGTCGCCGTCCCCATAGCGGTACGGTGTGTGTCGACTCCCGCTGAGTACGCAGGACGTAGGTGATCGCGAGAGATTTTTCCTTTTATTATTATTATTATTATAATTTTTTTTTTTTTTTAATACAATTCGTCCATTGTTGTCTCGCTAAATCGAAAGTCGACGCAAACAATACTATATTATTATTGCTACTACTACCTACCTACAACTATACAACGCGAGATGTTTAATAACTACTGCGATTCTACGAAAGGGTATATTAAATGCGTAAGCCCGGTAAGTATAAATTGCACACGTGCAGATTGAACAAGTAATATAATCATAATATATATATTTACATATATGTACATACAGCGTATGTATTTCATCGTATTTGTCCATGTGCATAAAACTGTTCATACCTGACCCCCCCCGTCCGAACTAACATAACTGTATGCATACATATAAATTATACTTAGCAAAATATTACGTTTACAAATCAAAAGCAATTACATGACATATGCATAAGATTACGATTCGTTTGCATGTCCCATAATAACATTATATGTTTCTCGTGTTGGACATATAGTTCTAAAATGTATGAAATAACAATACTTAGATATCATTAATATACACAAACATTTACAATCACTTGTAACAGTTGTATAGTGTTAAGTCATAGTATGTGATCGAAATGTAACAACGGCGTTTGACGCTGATAATAAATTGTATATAAGTAAGTATATCAGTGTAAAATGTAAATACATAAACATATTATAGTCTTAAGCATTAATTATTTAGGAATTGTTGACGTTTCAAATAAAACTAAGTTAATTTATAAGTATTAATGTATTATATTATATTAAAATCATATATATTCAACCATGTATGATATTATGTACGTCAATATTATGGTTCAAAACAAAAACTTAAAATTCAAAAAATAATTAATATTTTTTTTATAAATTTACAAACATTTACAAATCAATCAAAGGAACTGAATGATATATCTTGCGTTCAGAGGGTTGTTTTATTTAAATTTCTGCGAAAATTAAACAGAATCGCTCTACCCTATATGCATTACTCTATAGCGATCAAATAAAAAGGCTTGATAATGACCGTGGTATATTATGCATAACTACTTGCCTATACTTGTTAAAATTATAAAACATACTTTTTCACTAATTAAAATTAAAATAATATAAAAACATTTACAATAGCTTAAATTTAAAATCAATTTTCACAGTAAAAAACGTAAAGATATATTTTTT